CACCTCCATACGGCGGCCCAGCGCCCCACCGTTTTGGACGCCGGAACCGCCCGCCATGGATAACGCCAGATAGTGGTGCGAGACCCTGCTGGTCCTGCACTACCTTCTACTGCGGGAGGCGCGCGCTTCTGCGAAATCGCGGCGGCTCGCTGGAGAGCGAGATGCTCCCAGCGGGAACTGGAAGAGAGGACGGGCTGGGGTCAGACTGAGGCAGTGTTTGCCGCGCGCTGCAAACCCCGCTCGCCCCGCCGGCTATGGTGGCGAATGGCCCGCCCACCGCCAAGAAGAGGCACACGGGCTTCTTTGAACTCATGTGCGCCGCCAAGTCGATCCAGCATGGAAAAAGCCCACACCCTCCGCGTTAAATTCCACTGGGGAATCTCCGGGGCGCTGTTTTGCGTGGGGGTGCTTTTTGGGGCGCTTTTTGGGAGTGCGCCGGGGCCTGCTGCCGTAAATTGCGAGGCCCTGCGCCACCCACCGCGCACAAAGCAGCGGTGACTACGCTCAGCGGTGGTGCCGGCGGTGGTCTTGTCCCGTTTTCCTGGAAAACAGGCGTTGCCGTACTGCCTCCCAAACCTGGCGAGCCCACCGGTAACCCAATCTTGCTTAGGCCCGTTGCCTTTTTCAGCCTGCCCGCGCGAGGTCGCAGAAAGGGCTGAGGCACGCCGCATCCGTAGCGCAGCTGAAGGCGAAGTTTTTTCCCAGCAAGCTGATTTTCACCGAAGTCGGTCGACGCCAGGCCTGCCGGCGCCTTCTTTGCTACACCGCTCGCCGTGAAAACGGGAAAAGGTCGGTGCGGCGCTTGTGGGCTGCACCGGGGCCTCCTATTCAGATGGTTGCAGTTTTGTATTCGCTGCAATCAAACAGCGCAAGGCGGATTTGCACCTGATCTGTTGGGTGGCGGGCCTCCTTTCCCGCCGCCCGCCGAGGGCCCGTATACACGAGACCTTCTCCGCCCCTTTCTCGGCTCACCTGCGGTGCCCCACGGTAGCCAGCTTTTGGCCCACGGCTTTGCACCTTTGCCGCTAACAGCCCCAGTAAAAAGCTGGTGGGCGCCCCCATCCTCGCGCATCCCTTCTTCGCCGGCGGCCTCGCATTCGGCGCGCTAGCCCGAGGCAGAGGCCCCATCGAGACCAGGCCGTGGCAAGCCTTGGGCTGCATTTTGGATTGGGCAAATAAAACAAAGACGACGTGCAACCAAGTGCAGCGAAGGCGAAGCCCATGCTACTCGGCACCCAACGGCGCGGCTCGCCCCATGCTGCGCGTGGGCGGTGTCGCTTA